TTCTTCTTCTTCTTCTTCTTCTTCTTCTTCTTCTTCTTCTTCTTCTTTTCTCTCTCTCTCTCTCTCTCTCTCTCTCTCTTTCTATCTCCCCCATCCTCTCTGTGTGTGTGGGTGTGTACATGTGCATGTGACACTTCACTTGCAAGCTCTCAGAAAGTTCACACTTAACATAATCAAAGGGTACCAAAGTATCTTTGTGTTTCGGTCCACTTATCTAGCTATACCTTGTCACAATGAAGAGTCACCCAGACCTGTGACTCTTGCCCTCACCCTCCCCTTTCTCTTCAGTTCTCTAACACTCATGTACCTTGAGTTCTGGTTATCCTTTTCCTGCATTAGTGCATCAGCTATTTAACTAAGCTCTCTAGCTCCTATTATGCTTGTCTTCAGAGACATATTATTCTACTCCATAGATCTGGTTTTTAGATTGCAGTAAAAATCCATCCTACTTAGTTTGGCATACTTCATTTTCATTATCTATCCTCTGCTTCCTTCTGTGGATTTTCTGACCACCACATGGTCCGTGCCATAAGTGTAAAGCATTCTAAATGGACTGCGTGATCTCACATTTTCTGGTTCTCTGCTCTAGCACGTCTAACTATGGGCTGAGCACTACTCATCCCTAGTGCCTAGTAAGCCCTGCACTATTCAGGAGGTGGAGGCAGAAGGAGAAGAGGTCAAGTCTAGCTTGTACTACACGGGAAGTCTGAGACGAGTCTCAATTACACAGAGCAATGTTCAGTGGGTATATGAGCATCTATTCATATGTATCAACCTTGAAATGAAGATCCTAGGTAGCGTCCTTCCTTTGAAAGATGTTTTTCTTCACACTTCATTCTTAGGCATAATTTGCACTTACAAAGAAAAGCATTTTGTTTTGTTTACTTTTCCGTCTGCCCATACATGTTCTCTAGAAGTGTCTTGATCTTAATAAGCATAGGGCCTGGATAAGACAGATATCACTAAAAATTCACGGAGTGAAATGTGGACACGTAAATATGGAATAAATTCAAAGATTGCAAACTTGATCTGCAGTTTCGTTTCCAAGGTCTAAAATGTGTTTATCAGGACAAAGCCATTTTGAAGCAAATTCCTCTCATGGACTAACCATTGCTCACCTCTAGGCTCAGGGGCTGAAGTCAGAGTCATTCTTCCTGTGATGTGGGAAATTGAAGGAGGAAGATCACAGGCCTAAGGATTCCAGAACTGGCGTGTGGTCAGGATGGCTCCAAGAGAAAGGGGTAGACTGTATCTGTTGAAGACATCAGAGCTACAAATACAGAACTAAAGAACCAGGCTTATCCTCCAACAAATGCTTCTCTTGTCCTTAATTCCTGCAGGAAAACCTTTTGATGCTGATGCTTCAAAGTCGGACTTCATCTCGACTTCAAGCGAAGTCCTCAGCCTAAGTAAACCCCATGTCTCCCTATGCTGACTTCTTCTGTGAAAAAGAAGGAATTCCCCTACTTGAAGTCAAAGCTCATTTAGAAATTCCATCTGCAAAAGATTATCACGGGATGTTTTGAGATCTGGAAGAATTTTCTACTAAACCATTCTCTAGTCTTAATAGCCTGGTGCTGAGGATAGTCTAGTTTGGAAAGAGAGTCTGCCATGAAATAGAAAAATTTAATCCCACCCCTGTCTTCAGGCTGTTAGTTATAAATAGGTGATGGGACTCAAAGTTACAGAAATTCTCACCATTAATAGTGACATGGACCCCGTAAGAAGGATTCACTTCAGTAGAGTCAATTGAATCTTCTTTGACTTAGTGAAAGTATGCTTCACCCACTCCTGGAACTATTGCTATTAGCTGGAAACAAGACTGGAATTCAGAGCTTTGTAGACAACTACACTTCATCCATTTGAACACAGCGTGAGGCTTATGGAAGTGACAGTCGTACAAAATGTTGGCTTCAGATTCACATCATTCCCAACATGCTTTGCTCTGTGTACTGCAAGGCTGTGGCTCTGCTGGTTGGCCGGGTCTTCTGCCCCTAAAGAATTCTTCAAAGCCATGGAAGCCTTAAATGACAGCCATTGTGTTATTAATTTGTGGCGATTTGATTCAGCTTTGCTAGAGGCCTCTCATAATTATCATCATCAATACATGTTATTATATCTCAAGTGTGAGCAAAGTGAAAGTCCTGAAAAAAACTAAAAGAGATTTCTGTTTTGATATGTATACTTGAATCTGGATAGATAAGTGAGCCTATAAATTACTTTTAATAAAACCTTTAACTATGTGCAAATATGACTTACAGGGATCTAGGAGGACATTCTATCATATTCTTGCTTGGTAAGCACTTTACTGGCAGCCACCTCCCCAGCTCCAACACTTCCTTTTAAGAGAGTTCATCAAAACCGAGACTTCTCAGTCTTTCTATGCATAATGACTTGAAGTTCAGAGGTCTTTATCAGAAGTGTCCATGTTCTCTGATTTCAAGCTATAAGCTTTATTCAAGTCTGTAATTTTTCCTGGGACTTTAAAAAAATGTTGTTGATTGTATCGTTATGGTTATTTTGTGATACTTGCCCCTAAGATCAGTCTGGGATAAATCATCAGTCTAGATTTTTTTTTTATTTGACATTTCTGTTTTTGAGTTTTGCAGCAGTGATTTTATTAATCACTTGTTGATGAGAAGAACAAGCCCCAGGTGAAGCATTAGGTGAAAATCACACCTACACTTTAAAAACGACACTGGTAGTCTTGGCTGGCATGGCGCCCTCTGCGTCATCTCCTCCATACCACCCAGAACCCCACGGAATCCCAAGGTTCCCAACTCTTAACTTCATAGCTACTTCAGTGCAGTTGGGAGCGTATGCTCTTAAAATTATAAAATTTCACGTAATACCCATTTAATGTTTGATCATTTCCAAGAGGGCATACATGCACTGGACAAAGGGAAATGAACCTGCAGTTGAGAAACACTGAGGGAAGGTGCCATTCAACAACCCTGGGTGAGGTTGACGGTCTCTATCCTGCATATACCTAAGCCAACACAGGAGATAGGCAGAAGAGAGAGACAGCAACAGGTGCACACATAGTTGTTGCTATCTAAACATCTGGACATTGCAGATGTGTAGTATGAGGGGCCAGCTTGTTGGGGTTTCTGTCCCACCCAGTACCCCAACAAGCCGGCAAGTCCCAAAGAGAAATCACACACAGGACTCCATAAGGTTATAAACTGATTGGCCCATTAGGTCAGGCTTCTTGTTAACTCTTACAACATATATTACCCCATTATCCTTATCTATGTTAGCCATAATGGGCTCAGTACCTTTCTCAGTGTGACAGCTTACATGTTGCCTCTTCGGTGGTCTGCACAGGAGTGGCTTGAAGAAGTTTCCTCCTCCCTAGCCTTCTCCTATTCTCATTGCCCTGCCTCCACTTCCTGTCTCGTTGACCCACCTATACTTTCTACCTGGCCAATCAGCGTTTTATTAAAATACATGATTGACAGAATACAGACAATTTTCCCACACCACAGATGTGCTTCATCTTCTGCATCTACATAACCTCACCTGCTTCCACACAGTCCCCAGCTGAAGTGAGGGGCCCTCACGCCTGTCTGGCTGCTTTCATGCTGTGTGCTGGCATAGTGCCGCAGACTGGGAAAGAGTAAAAGTTTCCTGCCACTAGCAGAGATGAAAGTTAGTCTTTTAGAAATAGATAGCTCTTTACCTTTGTATCATCAGGTAAACTCTAAAGATATATGTGCAGTTCCATTTTCGAGATCCCAGGTTTCCCAGAGCCCTATTTTGTTTATAAAACTGTAGGTTTTTATGTAGATCGTGGAAGCTAGCAATGTTCACTATGTTTTAGGAACCCAGGCTCTCATGATTTTCTCACAGTGTCTGCTGGTCTCAAAGCTTCTCAGGAAACAGGCACATTAATGATTGCTCGTGGTCCCCACTGCTGCCCCTAGAAAGCAGAGGCCCCTGTTCCTGTTTACATTCTTGCTCCCTTCTGTCTTCTGATGACACTTTGGTCCCTGGTGTTCCCTTACCTCTTTCATCTTGTCTGCAAAGACTAATCTGTGTCTTTCTTCCTCCAGTTTAGTCTGGCAGAAAGAAAGACAATGAAAGAGGAAAGGAAAACCATTGACTTAGGGTTTAACTGAATGCTTTCTGACAACATCACCATATCATATCTGGTGCTACACACGTAACTGCTGGGTTGGAAGCTTTGAAATTCTAGCATGGTTTCAAGGTTATATGTCTTGTTTTTATAGGCCCTCAAATGTTTGACTATGTACTTAATTTCTTTCGTGTTTTCTAAGACTTTTGGACACACAGAAATAAGTTCGTATGGTATTATTTTTTTCCTGCAAACGATTCTCATTCCACTTTTCCCCACTCTCTGTTCTGAACCGACTATAAAACTCTGCTTTCAGCCAGGGTCATATGTGCAGAGGCTTGGGATAAAGACAGTGTAACAGGAAGCACATTTGCGTGGCCTTTACCCTCTGACAGCAGGAGAGAGTGGTGTTGCGAGCTGTCTCATGAACTGTTGGCATCATACTTGAACCAGTTGTTAAATCATTCCAGTGCATGAATCCAATCTTCTAGGTCAGATTACTTATGAGATAAAGCACTGTCACATAATAGCCATGTGCTCTGAGACAAGAATGGCCTTCCACAAGGTCCTTTATACACGGTAACAAGAGAAGCAATTGTTTCTGTGTCTGAACTCAAGCATGAAATAGACTTGGTTTAAAATGTTATTGAGTATCAAGCAGTTTCTTGAGTGTAAGTTTCAAACGAAAAAACGTAGTAAAAAATGAGATGAGTCTTGCTCTGCTTTTCTATGTTCCATCGTGGCGGTTTTCTTTGCGCCCCTCCCCCGGACTCCGTGTGCTCTTTCCTGTCCCCCGCCCTGTGTGGAAGACTCAGAACTGATCTTCAGGTCTGCATTCCTTGTCTGTGGTTACTGCCTCTTCTCTCCCCACCATGAATGACAGTCACAGTTGGCCACAGACATCGTTCCCTAAAGCATAGATATTCTTTTTCAGTTGTAAGTGTTTGAGATTAGGATCTGCCTTTTGAACATTTTGCAACCCCTCCACCTTCGGACTCTAGCAAAGCTCCCTAAAGGGACATTCAAAAATACCCATTGGGTGAGTACTGTTTGCTAACCACATCTGGGTGGCTAGGACAGCCGCAGCAGCTTCAGCGTGTTCTCATTCTAGCAAAGACACAAAGGAAATTAAACGCGGGATCCCTGTAGAAAAGGAACAGGGGTATCTGAGGTAGCAACAGAGAAGGGAAGAAAATCTCCATAGAAGGAGTAGAAGGGAAAGAAGAAAGACAGGAGGGAAGGGGGAAGAAGGGGAAGGAAAACCACATAAACATAAAGTCAGAGAGGAACCATGTGCCCAGGCAGAGGGACAAGACAATCGAAGATCAGGAGAATAGTGGGAAAACCTTGGGAGATTTAATGGATTAAGTAAAGCCGAGATGGCCTAAGCAAAGGGGTCCAGGGCCAGGCTTGGCATAGTCTGGGGCTATGTCACAAAGATCAAAGGGTTGGAACTATAGATCAATGGGAAACTAAAGAGACTATAGAAATGGGGGAAAATGGATTTAAAATTTTACAAGTTCATCTTAGCTTCTTTGTAGAAAACTGATGACTTGGGGGATTTTAAAAGAAGACCAAGTAGCAGATTATTAAACAATAGCCCAGGTAAGAATATGCCATGTAGGAAAGGGTAGTGACTGTACAGAAGAGGTATCATGGCAATTGAGTTGGCATCCACTCTGCCTCCTGAGTAAGAGGAGGAAGGGGGGGGAGAAGCAGGGAAGGGAAGAAAGGAGACTAGGGAAGCAGGGAGGGGAGGAGAGGAAGGAAGGGGAAGAGAGGGAAGAGTGAAGATGGGGAAGACATTCGTTTTATTCATCAAATTAATAGGATTTGGTTATTAATGGATTCATTTAGGAATGATAAGGAATTGTGGATTCCTTTCCAAATTTCTGGTCAAACTGACTTTTTGCTGTTGTTGTCCTGGGGGAGATTGGCTGGAGGAACAGTTCTGTTAGGGTAAGACAGATCTCAAGGTTATTTGAAAGCACATTGGGAAAGCATTCTGAGGTGTCAGACAGCTGTTTGTAGGAGACCAAGACCAGGGCTAAGGAAGGTCCAGTCTTGTGATGTTAGGTGTCTTTTAAAGGCAGGACAAGAACATGAGAAGGGGGTGGAGGGGGGATAAATGCCCTGAGTTAAACCCTGGGACTTTCAGTCTTTGTCTTGGAAGAAAAGGAGCCGGCAAAGGATCGTGACACTGAAGAGACAGAGCAATGATTTTGGACTTTGTAAAGCAAGGGCAAGCACCTTTTATTGCTTAGGGAACAGGCTTCAATGTGACCAGCCCCTGAGCCCAGCAACCACCATCTTGGGAAATTCAGATTGGCTGACTTGCAAAACAATTATCCCAGCTGGACTTGTTGACTCTTTAAACAGGCACGGGCGGGGACGGCGGCCCCCCGCGTCCTAGATGCTCACCTGAGTAAGCAGGGGCTCCTCACCACCTGGTATTAGAAACTGCTTGTTTTAATTGTACTTGGTCTGGAGGAGGGGCTGAATGAGAGGAGCCTGGGAAGACTGGGGATGGGGCTCCACTGGGGATGGAACTCCATCTAGGCCTAGAGAGTACCCCTCATTTCTGCTCCGGTCCAGCCCACGGTGGGTATGTACCACTTCACTCCAGGCTGTATTCTTGGGTGCTGTAGGAAAGCAGTCGGAGTGAGCCATCAGGAGCAAGCCAGGAGTGAGCCATCAGGAGCAAGCCGGTAACGTGGTTTCCTTCAGGTTCCTGCCCGGTTTGAGTTCCTGTTTTGGTTTCCTGCAATGGACGATGATTCAGAATATGTAAGCTAAATAAATCCTTCCCTCCCCAGGTTGCTTTTGATCACGGTGTTCTGTCGCAGCAGTGGGCATCCTAACCAAGGCAGTTCTCCAGGGTCACCTTCGGAACCATACCTGGCTTTGTCACTGGGACATTAGAAAAAGGGGTAAACATTGCTTATCTCCCACTGGGGTGGGGAGGGTTAGCAAGAGGACTGTTTTCCACACTTAGGAAAGGAAGGACGGGTGTCATAGCGGGTTGCATAATACCTCTGGCAACGTGGTAAATTGTAATCAGAATGGTAGAAACCAGGTTCTGTCCATTAGCTGCTTGGCAGCTATCAGCTCTGACCAGAGTTTAACCCCTTCTTCAGTGCCTGTGGGTGTCAGGAGATACCTGCTCTTTCTCAGTTTTCCACCTGGCCGAGGGGCCAGTCCCGTGAGTGTGTGTAGCCTGACTCAACTATTCTTGTCTTCCAACCCTTGTCAAGTGTCCCCAAACATTCAGACTCTGTAGAACTTTCTTTTCTACCATCTGGCCCATCTTTTACTGGATGCTTCGTCAGTCTTGCAGGTTGTTGGTGGTGTTGGGGGGACTGGGTACTGTCTGCTGCCTAAGAGGATCTGACTCAGTGAACAGCGACCACGCGGGCTGTGCGTTGGTTTAACTCTTTTTTTTCTGGCACACTCTTCGTTTTTCAATCGTCTTTTCACGCAGCAGTGGCAAGGAGGCCCGAATCTCTCCTCCGAACAGCTGTCTGCACTTGCTGCTTCCTCCAACATGAAACCAGGCACATGTGGCGTGCGCTCAGCCGAGGCCCCTTACCTGACTCAGGTGTGCTGTGTCTTTGGCCTCCAGTATCGTTTTGGAGGCTCAGTATGACCTTGTTTTATGCTGCGTCTACATTTCTGGTGGCGGGTGTGTCCTGGGGCAGCGGAACAGCTCCCTGTACATAGGGACGGGTTATGAAGAAGTGAAGAGGGGATGAGGGGGAGGAGTTTGCTTAGTGAGGCAAGTCACAGAATTTCCTTAGCCAGCCTGAGTTTGGGGACAGACTATTGCCTGGCTTGCTCATGCATACAGACCCTACTTAAGAGGAAGTGTAGAGAGGAAGGAAGCCAGCACAAGAGGGTGCAGGCCTGGGAGCTTTGAAGAGACTAGCCATAATATGCGTTTGTCACCAAAATGCTCCCTAGGCGCCTCGGGATATATATGTAGGGGCAGTTTTTATTAGTTCGTGCCAACTGCGTAATTTCTCTCGCGACAGGGCACTTCACTGACAAAGGAAGTTCTGGAGGTTTCGCCCCAGTCCTAGTCCCCAAACTGGGGGGGACCACTATTGGTCACAGAGGCTGGCCATGGAGGTCAGTCACTGCATAAAGTACCTCAAGACTGGCCATCAAGCCCCACTCAACTTTCAAAAGGGAAAGAAGCCCTGCCCCGTTTGTGTCCTTCTCAGGGTCATTCTTGCTAAACCCCAGAAACCTAAAGCCAGCCAAACGCTCTGAGGGTTGCCAGAACCTGGCCAGGATGTGAGTTCCAGCAACCTAGGTCCCCTAGCGCCCCCTACAGCTGCGGCGGGGTGGGGGTGGGGAATCGTGTTGGGGAGAGGGAGCCGAGGCTGTGAGCCACTGCACCACACCCAAGACCCCACCCAGCTCACAGGGGCACCCAGCCCTCAGGCCACAGAAACGGGGCGTGGGGCAGGGCCTGAGGCATCCCTGGCCACCACAATTGCTCCGCCTGTGGCCACCAATTCCCCTCCCCTGGCGTCCCTCTCTCCGCCCCTGTCGCCTGCCAGTACCGGACACGCTGCTGCACTTCATCTCTTGGGGCGCTCTTCGCCTTGGCCAACCGTCGCATCCTGTGCAACTCTGGTCAGTGGCCGTTTGGTGTTGAATGTTCCCCAAGAGTGCATGGCTGCAGAACCGAGGCGCAGACTCGGGCCCCGAGGGGTCGTCCTCTGGGAAGCCGTGGTGATGCTGTTGTACCTGGGAGTGCCTGCGGGGTACCCCTACAACCTGGACCCAGAGAGCGCGCTGCTGTACCAGGGCCCCTCCGGCTCTCTGTTTGGCTACTCGGTGGTGCTACACAGCCACGGGGAAAAGCGCTGGTGAGTGCGCCCTCCCCAAGAGGCATGTGGCAGCGTCTCCGCCTCTGGGATTCCTTGTTTGAATCAAACTTTCCGCCCTCCTGGGAGATCAGAGGAAAGCCTGGCTCCAGCCAGATGGCTCACTGGAGAGCCTTGGAACTAACTTATCTTGGGATAGCAGCCCTCAGGGTGCTCCGGGTACGTGGTCCCGGAGTTCTGAGTCTTGGGAGATGGTGATGGGCAGGGTGGATGGGCAGGCTGGCTCACATCTGAGCGAACTTGCATGGTTCTCGCTTTAGGCTAATCGCAGGGGCACCCACTGCCAGCTGGCCCTCCAATGCCTCAGTGGTCAATCCTGGGGCGATTTACAGATGCAGGATCGGAAAGAATCCAGGTCAAACGTGCGAGCAGCTCCAGCTGGGTGAGTTGGGTCCTGGACCAGGAGATAATGAACTTTCTCTCCCCGTGGGCCCATTGCTGGGCAAATCCTGGAAGACGTCACGGTGCCAGTTTCTTCTAGTTTAAAGTGCATGCTTTTCAGTTTTAACCCCGTGGCAGCTTGCTTCTGGTGATATTTGCCTTTCTCTTGCTTGCGACTGTAGTTTCGTTGATCTCAGCTGGCATAGCTCCTTCAGGGAAAGTTTTGTAGGATGCCTTCTGGCCAGCCACCTCTTATCACCCACCATGAGTAAAACCTGCTTCAAAGCCAGAGGATACAACCCAAGGGGAGGATTGTACTTGATCTTTGACTTTTTATCTTTGATATAGGATAAAGGGCACATCAGGAATGAAAAGTTAGATCGATCCTACATTCTATCATCTAGCCCAAGGTCTTATCTTCCTCTTCCTTTGAAGAAGAAACGGACACCATATTTTTTTTTCCCCGTAGAATATATAACCATAAAAGAAAGGGATGGAAAAATGGCATGTCTACTGTTAAAATCATTAATTGAGGAGGTCTAACATATAGTTACTAAATTTCCTCAGATTCCCCTGTGAAGCAGGCCTGTCTCCGGCCCTCATTTTTTTATGTCTTTATTTAGGTTTGCAGCAACTTGAGACATGTGTGCTGCTGGGGGAGGGGAGAAGTTTCATGTTTCAAAGTCAAAAGCAAATTTGCTGCGCACAGGCACATGGGAAAAGAAAGGGGAACTAATATCATATTTAGATCTATCTTGCTCCCAATGTTGTTAAGCGTTGTCGTATATATTGCTCAATGTTTCCCACTCAAAGCAACCCTAGGTTAGGACTGTATTGTTTCTGCTTCCCGCAGTGGGGATCAAGCACAGAGAGCTATGGGTTCCTCCTTCAAAATTACGTACCGAGGCTTAGCCTTACACTTCAGTCGTGCATCTTTAGTGAAGAGAAGACTAAAAGAAGGGTTTGATGTGCTGTCTGTAGGGATGCTCTATCATCTATGACGAGGAGTTAGAGGTAATAATTGGAACTTCCCATGCTTATCTGTAAATGGGCTCTTGAAGATGACCTTATTTTGTCTTTAATTTCTATAGTCATCTGTTTTTTTTCTTGCTTGTTTTGTTCTTTTTCTCCTTTCGCATTTTTTTTTTGCCTCAGCACCCATAAAAATGCAGGAATTATCTGTGCATTGGCCTTGGCTGAAGCTGATAGAAAAGTACAAAGGCTATTGAGGGTGGGAGGGGAGGAGGATGAGAACGAAGGGGGGGGGGAGAGAGAAACAACATAAATTCTAGTCACAGAAAAATTATTGTGAACCTTAATTCTTCGTGGAGGAGAGATGGACCTCAGAGCATCATTAGGAACCCCTATTCCAAGGGGCAGACTGGGGCGCACACAAGATTCACAGAGCTGTGTATTCGGAATGATTTTGCAGAGTATTTTCGTTGCCTGAGAGAACTGTGAATGAATGAAGCCTTGATCTAACAGAGGCTTCCCAGGGTCTCCAGTCCTGGCATTCTTTCCAGATCCGTGACATTACAACTAGTGGTAGCTACATCCTGCCTGGAGGGCACTGGCTCTATTTATGGATGCTTGTATTTAACCGGAAAGATCACGCCCTGATAAATTATACAAGCTTGTGGCTGATGGCAGCTGTCAACTAAGGAAAACCTAAATCCACCGTGGTATAGAGCCCAGAGTTCTCCAGAGGCATCGGAACACAGTAGATCCGTAAGGAACATTACGAGTTCTGGGATGGATGGATCAGGGGAAGTCCAAGTCTGATAGTTATCAGCTTGATCAGTGGGTAAAAGAGTTAGCAATGGGAAGCCAAGGCTGTGTTTCTCACCTTTAACAACTGAGTCCATCACAAAAGTACCGAGATGAAAGAGACAAAATTGAGTGTAAGGCCCTAGTCAATGGATTGGTTCTAGTGTCAGCTGTGGCAGCATTGAGAATATTTTTGAAAGGGAACTGATTGAAGTCACTTCTCAGGGAACATTATGAACAATACAGTCTCAGCTTCTACAAGAAAACCGTTTCTTTATTAAGAACAAATTCAAAAGTAATTTAAAGCTGTAAAGTAAAATATGTATGCGAACGTCCAGAAAGTATAAAAAGTCACCAATTGATGAACAGAACCATATTTAAGACTGTAAGGTTTATAGACTATGGACCATTACTTAGGAACACATTTTGTGGTGTGTGTGTGTGTGTATGTGTATGCCTACATGCACAGACACAAAATCCTCTGTATGATTGAGCTATTTATAATTTTAAAAGTATTTTTATTTATATTTAACTATATTACATAGTTATATTATGAATGACTATATTAGTAATTATATAAATAATTGTGATTATCTACAATGTAAGTGATTATATTATAAAGTTTAAAAACACTTAGCTTAGCCAGGCATGGTGGCGTATGCCTTTAATTCCCACACTCAGGAGGTAGAGGTGGGTAGATCTTTGAGAGCTTAGGTCTAAGCCAGCCTAATCTACACAATAGTTCAAAGACCGCCAGAGCTACATAGTGAGACCCTATCTCATACCCTGCCTTTCAAAATATTTAGTTCAATGTCTGATACATATCAGACATTGAAAAATGATTTTTTCTACTTAAAATATATGTGATACCTGCAATAAAATGATATCAAAATAAGTAACTAGGGTCAATTAATGGCCTGAAAATAAAATGTTGATTGTATAAACAAAAAATTTAACAAACTGAAATGAAGCAAAATGAAAAAGAAGTCACTTAGCCCATCAAAAAAAAAAAAAAGAAAGAAAGAAAGAAAAAGAAAAAGAAAAAAGAAAAAAAAGTTATAAGATAGAGAGCTATTGGCGCTATCCATCTCAGTAAGTAACCGCTTGTCTCTGGAATACCATTACTTTTTTTTTTTATCACGATTCCAGCTGTTTGGTTCAAAATATCCATCATGAGGTATTTCCAAGTTTCTGTACTATGTCAGACAAATGGCTGGTTCAGATAGGCGCCTCTGCTCTCCCACTTTAGCCTGGTTACTGCATATCATGCAGCCATAATCAGAGTCAAGCAGGCATACACATTTATCTGGTATGCTCAGGGGAGATGTTGGCAGTGCCCTCCTAGCAAACCGAAGTAACGCTGACGGAGTTGCCTATGTAGCACCCAGGGTGTTTTCTTCCTGTGTTCTCTGCCTCCTTCTAGCATCCTGCCTGCCTCACAAGTAGCTTCTTTTTTTTTTTTTTTCCCCCTTACTGCTTCCTCCCATGAACAAAGAAGTGGTCTCCCTTCAGGAGGCCCTGGGACTACATCCATTGTGTCTCAGCAGGTCACAGTGATTTCCACATGTCCACATGTCCACATGTCCATTCTCCTCTGCCAGCTGCTCTGCACCCTTCCTGGGGGCTGTTGCATGAATTTGGTCTCTGATAGCTCCTGAGTCAGGGTGGTAAGAATAATGACTCAATCTATACATTTAAGCATGGGCCATGCTTAAAATCCAAATAGTTAGCAAAGCAGAACACAATAACAAAGCATGAAGAATTATCAGATTTATTTGGGTATCAAAAGACACTCTTGATTTTTAATACTTCATAATTACCACAGATAGTCTTTCCTCTATCCCCTGTGTATGTGTGTCTATGTGTGTGTTTCTGTGTGTGTGTGTTTCTGTGTGTGTGAGCCTGTGTGTGTCTCTGTGTGATCCTCTGTGTGTGTGTGTGTCTGTGTCTGTGTGTAAGCCTGTGTGTGTGTCTCTGTGTGATCCTGTGTTTGTATGTATGTGTCTTTGTGAGCCTGTGTGTGTCTCTCTGTGATCCTGTGTGTTCCTGTGTGTGTGTGTGTGTGTGTGTGTGTGTGTGTGTGTGTGTGTGTGCCTGTGTGTGTCTAGAGAAGGAGGAGACTGTAGCTCTGAATGACTGACTTATCTGGTCATAGAATCTAAAATCACAAATTAGTCTCTGGCCACATGTGGCTTTTGAGGACAGGAAATGTCCATAGTGAGTTTTATTCAGTAATTGACATAGTAGATGTCTAAGACAGTACAAAATTAAGTTATGATTACCTCATGAAAGAGCTATCTTGAAGTAGTATTGATAGTTTAATATCTTGAATTGATTTCACATTCTTTTTACCTTTGTAATATGCCAGTCCTTCAGTTAAAAATGTCATGAGAGCACACATTACATTCCTATCGGACAGCACAATTCCCCCTGCTCCTGTGTCTGCTCTCCCCGTGGGTAGGACCCTCACTTCCCCCGCAGATGCAGAGTTCTGCATGTTGAGCTGTTAGGCTTCCTGTCTGGGCTTCTGTTTCTCTTGCTGGAAGACCAACGGTCCATAGCAACTTGGTCACCGTTACCGGTTTTGAATATATTTCTGGAAATAACATTGTGTTAGGAAATCTCTAGTTTTTGTATTTTATACCCTCCTTGGGAACAGGTCAGGTTTCTAAGCATTGCATCATTTCTACCTGATTGGCAGGAGTTAGGAATACTAAAATACAAGCACCTAACTGCTAAAGCCACATATATTCTGAGCAATGTTTTTTTGTTTGCAGTGAGCCTAAAATTATAGCTTATGAAACCAAGATTACTACAGTTTTCTCATTTTGAAAAATCATCCCTGAACACAGAAAACCATGGTATAGGATGCTATTAATAAACTGAGGTTAAAAGGTAGGAGCTGGGGTTGGCCAAATGACTTAGCTGTTGAGGGTGTTTATCACTGTGTCAGAGGACCCAAGTTCAATTCCAGCATCCGCATTACAAGTGGCTGTAACACTTGTGATGATGCCTGCTCCAGAGGCATCCAATGTGTCTGATATCCAAGAGTACCTAAACCTATGTGCCCCCCCATATAACACACAATATTTTAAAAGATTAGAAGTTCCAAAATCCCCCCATACTAGAGCTCTCTAAAGGAGAGATGTCCTTCTAACTGGAGAGATGCTTTCTTTTTTTATTATTATTATTATTATTTTTATTATTATTATTATTATTATCTCTTTTTAAAAT